AATTTATAAGTTTATGTCCATATAAATTATTTTATTTTAAAAAAGTGATTCATGTATTATAAAAATTAAAATTGGGGGTTTTCAAAGTTTAGTTTAAAAAAGTAAAAGCATAAATAAAATTTGTTGGAAAACTTGATCAGATTAACGACGATTGGGTTTTATTTGAATCCTTAGATCTCACTATTGATGATTATGTTTATTTATCTAAAATTGATTTAACATAGTTTCAAAGAGTTGGCAAGGTCATTATAACTAATTCCTTGGTGTATAACTCACTAATTTAAACTACAACTCCATAATCCCTTAGACTAGTTAGATAGTAAAATAAGGAAAATCATGTTTGTTAATTCCTTATCCATAACGAATGATCGTTTATCCTTAAATAAATTATATAGTTGAATAATTACTCTAATTCAAGTTTAAAGAGTTAGGGTCAGTAATCACTACAACCATAAGTTCAATTCATATGTTCGTCAACATACAAAAAGCATTACACAAAAGAGTAACTGGATAGAAACTGCAATTTCAATATATGCAAATAATACAAAATAATTCATATGTCTCAATAGATCAAAATAGGTTTATCTTCTGATCTATAATCAATCAAACTTAGCTACTCGTACTAATAGGAATCATAAATGAAGTAATAAAGAAACAATACACGAATATCCGGTTATAATTTGGCTTCTGGTGATGAAAAAACTTCACTCCAGAGCTTCAAAAGATTTTTTCCCATCAAAATTAAGTTCCAAGGATGGCCACTACTTTTTCCTCTATCTTTTGCCCTTTTTTAGAAGTTAAAATGTGTTAGAAAAGTACAAATCACGCATACAATCCTGTTAATCGCGCATGCAAATTCTTCACATGGTCAGCATCATGCACATGATGCTTGTTTACAAGAATGCAATGACACTTGTCTCGTACATGATTTTTGTTAGCTTTCATTTGCAAAAAGTCTCGTCTCAATTGGAGTTACGAAACTCTAGCTATGAACAAATTATTGGACAAACGAAATGATGTAAATTGTGCTAAAAATATTCTTTTCTTCATAATTTCTCCACTTTTTCATCTTTTTGATTTGTTTATTCAATTCTTCATTTTCTTCCTATTGCTTCGTAAAACTTAAACATAATTAAGAAAAAAATAATAAAAACAAACACTTGTAAAAATTACATGATGACAGATTGTTATCATAACCCCAGACTTACATTGTGACTTGTCCTCAAAGAACTCATTCATAATTGTGATCTTCCTTAAAACTTTGTACTTATCAAACCAATAACAGACACCAATCAATATCTAGTTATTACTTTCATTCCTTGTTTCAATCAAACATTAATCCAAATACTTTTTCAACTTTCTATATACTCAACTTTCTCTTAATCTCAATATTCACTCTTATTGAAATAATATGGTAAACACTCATACACATACAATTGACATCAGACATATGATATTGCAATATTTCTAAAAATTCTTCACTTTCTTTTCGAAAATACGCTTTTGAGGTTTTTCACAGGTTCTAATTTGGCTTATGTTAAGGTGGAATATATTTGGATAGTAGGTTTTATTTTATGGAGTTAATTACATGTTACCTTCTTATTTTCACACTATTGATACATGTGTTTCCTTTGCTTTCACTTATCGGTACTAGAATTTCGACTTTTTTCCATAGGCTCTAAATTTTTATCATTATAACAATTTTTCTAGCTTCTATTCATCTTTTTTTTTTCAATTCTCGAATTTTAGTACCCCAACCCCAAACTTAGAATGTTGCTTATTCCATAAGTAACCACAAACTTCATTTTTTTGCATGTATCATGACAAAACATGGAAAAATAACAATCTACCTAACTCCAAGGAAAGGGTGGAAAGATTTCTCTTCCAGATCAATCAGCTAAATAGATGGCTAAGTCATCAAAAGAAATGGCTTGGGCTCAAAGGATTTAGCAACAAATAAATACTTTTTAGGCTCACATAAGAAAGGGCTTAAGTTAAAACAAACAATTTTGCCCCAGTGTCTAATAAAACAAACAGACAATAATTCATAGATAAACCAAATTGTAGTAGATCAACAATCATATGAGCTCTCATATAAGAAAGAGGGTAAAAGTGAAATTATTTGGCCTAACTCTTACTTGATGAGGTATTTGATGATTCGGTACAATACTATCAAATATTACTCCTCTTCATATTTTCTCAATCCGTATTTGGAACTTCTGTAACAACTATGATTTCTCTTTTATTTTATTTTTCTTTTATTTTGTATTTCATTCTTTTTGTCAATGATAAAACATCATACCCTTAATTGAAGAAAACAAAAACAAAATTATTCATTAAATAAAGCAATAATATAGTTCACAAACAAAGAAAACATTAAAGGAAATACTAAAACTTAAAAATAGATAACATAAATTGGTGTGTTTCCTCCCATGCAACGCTTATTTAAGATCATTAACTTGACTGTTTGATTCTATGTTAGGGCAATATATATGGCATAAAAAACACATTATCTTTCTTCTTCCTTTTGTTTGGTAGGAACCCCATGCACTTGAGGTGTCAATGATGTTGCTTTCATATCTTCTTCAGATTGATAGTAGCGAATAAGGCATAAATGACATCTAATACTTTATCAATTTCTTCTCTTCCATCGATCTTGTTTCTAAAATAAATTTTAGGGGCATGTTTTTATTGAAGATTTTCTTGTTGGATATTTGCATCTAGACAAATTGTTGAATAAAAAACTAGATCATCTTCATTTAGTATTCTTTATCTTTTCACATATCTATTTTTCACCTCAAAATCTTTTATTCTTGATTTGGTTTTTTCATCTGATGGCATGCATTTTTATTTTTCTTGTTATTTTTCAACTCCTCCTACATCGACTACTTCTTATTCATCTTTGACTTTTGTCTCGACTTTGTTATCCCTAAGATTATCCAACATATTCTCATTAAAACCTCAATTTGATCGAGATGCCACTTATTTAGATAATTGTCCAATTTAATTTTCAAAATTCTTCGAGGATGCTTTAATGTTCTTGTTGGATGCTTTAATGTTCTTGTTGGATATTTAAATGTTCTTGTTGGATGCTTCGATGTTTGAGTTTATTGCTCCTAAGTTGCTTTGACTCATCTTTATGAATTTGTTCATAGTCTCTTCTAAAAGAGATGACCCTCTGTCATGTATTTCTTGAGTGACCTTCATTGCTTCAAGATTGTTTTCAATTATTGTGGTGTAATATTTATAAAACACCTTGCCTATGGTGATACCCCGAGGCTGCCCCAGGGGAGGGCGATGACACCTGGTCACTCGAAGGGAGGTATTGCCTCGCCCTTAATTCTTCTCCGCCCAGGGAAGGAAAAAAGGCGTAGGGTAAGACATGTCTTGGATAAAGAGAAAGTCAGAGTTGTTACTGACTCACGTCTCCTTTGGAAATAATGATTCAACTGCCCACTATTTGACTATGTGGGTGGTGGCCTTTCCCAAGAAAACCATAGGTGTTAGAATCTCATATAAATACGTCATCCCTCAAAGGGATAAGAGACAAACTCTAAGTCATACACTATCTCCACTACTGAATGAGCTTATGCTCATAAGCATCACCATTTATTCTACCGAAGTAATCATCCACCTACAACCCAACAAAGAAAACCACTTGCAGGATTTTTCACCTCACAGGAGCGAGTTCCTTAAATAGTCTCAAAAACCATCGTACTGGGCTAATCTCTACCGTGAGCTAGTGTTGTAATAGACAAAAAATAAGCGAGTTGTCACCACTACTTTTTGTCCTAAGGACGAGGAAGTAAGGGAAAAACCCTAATTTTCATAGATTTCTAGTTCTGTGAGTTGGTTAGATAAAGAGAAAATATTAGACACCCTTTACCTCCCTTGTACTCAAGGGGCCCCTCTTTAACTTTAGGACTCATGGGGGGATATTTTCTATTTGATTATGTTATTATCACATGAAAGGAAAAAGTTTAATTTTTTAGTTAGGGGAATCACCTTGGTTTTTAAACCGCGTGCCTACGTATCCTCTTGCGAAGAAATCAAAGTTCATTTTGTAGTTCGTAGTATCTTTGGTTGGTGTTTTTATAGAATTGCGTATAATTGCTTTCGAATAATCCTCTGAACTTTGTCTAGGTTGGAAAATTGAGTGATCGTAGACGCAATTCGAAGTTTTAATTTGAAAGTAATTTGACAATCCTTTATTGAAAAAATGTCTTAATTTTTATTATATTAGTAGAAAAAATATTTTGATTGGTTAGTTGTTTTAATTAGGTTGATTAGAGTTGATCTTTATTAGATTAAATCGCGCGGGACGAAGAAATCGATATTTATAAGGAGTTGATCCTTATTAGAACTAAATTGCGCGGGGCAGAGAAATTCATTTTATTTGTTAAATATTTTTAAGTGTTTTTTATTTGAATAATATAATTGGTAAACGTTAAACCGACTTACTAATTACTCGAGGATGTGAAATCCTTTTATTTATAAAAATGTTTAAATTAATTTAGTAATAAAAAGAAAATTTATGTAAATGTTTGTGATATTATTTTTATTTCTTTCACTATTAAAATAAAAAACAAACAAATGACTATCATGCACCAAATAATAATAATAATAATAATAATAATAATAATAATAATAATAATAATAATAATAATAAGAATAATAATAATAATAATAATAATAATAATAAAAGAATAATAATAATAAAAAGAATAATAATAATAATAATAATAATAATAATAATAATAATAAAAGAATAATAATAATAATAATAATAATAATAATAATAATAATAATAATAATAATAATAATAATAAAAGAATAATAATAATAATAATAATAATAATAATAATAATAATAATAATAATAATAAAAGAATAATAATAATAATAATAATAATAATAATAATAAAAGAATAAACAATGGGATAATAAGAAGCAAAACGAACAAATCCCATACCCATTTTTCTTTTTCATGCGTTCTCCTCTTCAATTTCTCATCTCAAGCTTCATTTCTTTTTCCTCACAAATATCAGATCCATAAGTAAGCCCTCCTTTTGGGTTTTCGTGGCGACGAGAGTTTCGTCGGGTTCTTCGACGATGGTGCATGTTGTTTCTGGCGTAGGGATTTCTGTTGAGAGTGGCTGAGCGCGACGGAGGTCGGAGGTTTATGCGCGATTTGAGCTTTGTGGATGATGTAGGGCGGTTCGGTCGTGACTTCATCGGCGGGATCGATTGGACTGCACACAGGGGCTTCCGCGACTAGAGGAATCCGACCGGTTGTGAGGAGCCGTTGCGATCTGGAGCTCTGACTGTTAATGTCAGGCTCATCGGTGATTTGTGTATGGTTTTAACATATCATATCAAAGGCTCGTGGTACGATTAATGACAAATTAGTGATGAAAAAGAAGTTGTTTTTTAGGTTGTTAAAATCAATGTTGTTTATGTTAGAACTTCTAATCATTCAACAGTTTATGGTGGGGAATTGATTTGTTTATGTGTCGGAAAAAAATTGATGATGAATTGTAAATTGTAGGTGACTTTAGAAAAATTTGAGTGTTCTCCATACTATGACAATAATAACAGTGAGTGAATTGAAAGTATGTACATAAAATTGGTTAATTTGTTAGTAAAAATATGGACGGAAGAAGGTTTATGTTTTTTCTAATATTGGCGGGTTTATAAAAAATTGAATATAATTTAAAAAAAAAAATCTACCATGATTATCACGTGGTAAAAAATAAATATAAGGTTTTGTGCATATATAGTGCTTGAGAGTGAAAGTTAAAGATTATTGATTTAATAAAACTAACCATCACAATTATCATTATCTGGTTCAAAGATCAAAGAAATAAAAATTTAAAAAAAAAAGAAAAGAGAAGAGTGGTCTCATATCAAATCACTGGTCAAAAAATAATTTTGATTTTTTTTTGAAAAAAGGTGTGTGAGGAAAAAGTTTAAAAAGTGTGAATATTGAAATTGTAATCGTGGATGATTGTGTGTGAAATTGTGAGAAATTGTTTGTGTAATTGTTGATTTATGGATAATTGTGTCTGTCTCTAATAGTGAGAAATTGTTGATCTATTTATAATAAAAATTAGGTCAACAAAATAGGAAATAAAATTAAATATTGATCAAGATTAAATCAAATAATATCTGATTATTTTCGGTTAAAAAATTGACCAATCAGAGGTTAGAGTGATGCAGTATGACCGATAGAAAATAAGTGGAAAAAATTTGATTTTTTAAAATGATTTTTTGGACTTTTTTTGATGAAAAATGTATAAAATAAATTAAATATGATTATTTAAAAAATGTCTAAAATAGGAAAACAAAAATTAAATATAAATAATAAAAAAACACAATTTTGTGATTTAAAAACATAAATAAAGTTAGTAACAAATAAAAAGGAAAAAAATGCCACATGCAAGATTCAAATCCGTGAACTTATGCTTGTAAGTCCTTCCCTCTTACTAATTGTGCTATCTCATTAATTCAAAATAAAAAGCCACTTGAAAGCATATGAATGATGGACAAATATTTGTTATTTAAGAAATGTAAATAATTTAAAATAAACTATTATATATTTTTAAATAGATAAAATAAATTAAAAATGAATATTTATAAAACCCAAAATAAATTGTAAATAAACCAAATAAGTTTGTAACACCCAATTTTGAAAGTCATTAGATTGTAGAATAAGACGGACAAATTTGAGATATGAGAGCTAGCCCCCATCATCAAAATGCGTAATATACCTATTAGGGTCTTTGAGTCTCCTCTGCCCTTGCAGGGGGAACACGCACACACATGTACTTTTTGGACAGTACAACACCGTGGGGCCTGGTAAAACTAACTTGGGCCACACCTTTCACTTCAACCTTATTATCCTATTTTTCTCTCTAGATATTATGAGATTTTGTGTATTTGATTCGAATCAAGAAAATCAAGCACACTTCCTGATTCAAATCAAATCCAACAAAGGCAAACAAAATCTTTTTACTTTCATTCGAATAAGAATTTACACCAGAATCAAATCAAGCATTTCACCTCTGCTCAATTTGATTCTAATCCGCCTTTATGTAACACCCTAAATCCCACACACGAAATATCACATAATTTAATTGTATATGCAACCACATAAGATATCATGCACATTAAAAAAATGCATCCTGCTCTGTAATACAAGTTTCAACATAATAGTTCAAAGACACCCATTTGTAATTGGATGGTTACACGACATCCAACTCATTTGAATCATCCTGGGATTTTTACACGACATCTAACTCATATGATCGGTATTACATATTCATATAATAAGACATTCATAACATGTCATTGCATGCGCACTTCCATTTTAAAGTATCATCACAGCAGAATCATCATTAACAATTATGAAAGATAAAGTAAGTAATGACGTTTAGTCTCAAACTTCAACTTTAATAACAAAATAAGAGAGTTGTAATCAATCAACTCAATAACTTAAGAATGCTCAACAACAAAATTAGTCTTATGAATATATGCATAATGCCCATTTAAAATCAACATTTAAACATAATGGGTGAGAATACCCTTCAATAATTAGCGGTGAAAAACAATCAGAAGTAGATTAACTAACAACAAACACACACTAATCAAATCACATCAACATATCAAGTGTTCTCATCCACACGACATAAAATTACAATAATTACCAATGCAACACAAATGCAAATATACTAAACAAGTGACTCAACATACATGTGGTGGAAAAATATGAATACTCAAGTTCATTTCACTCCATGATCCCCACCATAGGATGGATTCTCTCTTGGAATCAGAGCACTAGATTTGAAAATTTGCTTATCTCCCATCACATGCATCAAACAACCACTATCAATATACTGTAAGTTTGTAGTGGTCTTCAAGCATTTCTACAAAATAAATTAGGTTTTGTTAGGTACCCAATGTGCCTTGAGTCCTTCATAATCAGTTCTTTTCTTAACCTACACATAATGCTCACTTTCCATACTAAAGTTTCTTAAATAACAAGCATTAGGTGTATGACCACTTATACCACAATAAAACATGTAGAAATAAAATTACTTCTATATCTAGGAACATAGAATTTCTTTTTAGGATATCTCTTCTTAGGATGATGATGAATTTTTTTGTGATTTATTCACTTTCTCTTTTGTGGATTGGTAACTTGCCTTAACAAATATGGTTTTACTAGTACTAGGTTTTGTAAGTATGAGAGTGCGCCCAAGAGGGGGTGAATTAGGTACTTTAAAAGTTTTACCATTTTAGTGATGATGGATATTATTTTTCTGGTTTAATGCATGAGTTTATAAATGTGTTTCTTTCTTTTCTGGTTTATGACTAGTGATGAAAGCGGTAAATGCAGAAAAGTAAAGAACACAAAGATGTATCCTGGTTCCCCTCACAGTCCGAGAGTACTCCAGTCCCCTTTCAACATGAAAGAGATTTCCTTATTGTTAGATCTATAGACAAGACACCCTATTCCTTCTATACAAGACTCTAACCAATAAAACCACCAAGAACAATCCTCTTGGATTTTCTCTATGTCAACAATGAGAACAACCCTCTCAAGGTGACCTTACTTGTATCCAACAATCCTGGAAAAACAAGATTTTAAAATCACTTGAACTTATTTTCAACCATCCTAAAAATAAGCAAGTATATAGCAATATTTGATTTGAGTGAGTTTGTAGTGTAATAATCACTATGAGTGATTTTATCAATGAATTGATCTTCTCTTCCAATGACAATATTATACAATGACTCAAGATATATAATGCTCAAAGTTTTCTGTTTGATAATATGTGAAAGTGTGCAGAAAAACTTTGTGTATGAAAGTGAAGAAAAACTTGAGTTTGATATTTCAAAATTCAGAAAATATGATTGGAAGAGGTGTAGAAAATGATTTTGAAAATGAGTATTTATATGTTCATAGCACCTTTTTGAAACAACATAAAGTTCTGTAAATGAATCATGAACAATTGCCAAGATTGAGTGAAAGGTTTCCATTAAATGGTGTTATGAACAGGCATGTGCAAAGCTGTTGTTTTTCAAAATTGTGCAGCATGCAATCGATTGCACCCTTTGTGTAAATCGATTGCACGGGGTTTCAACAGCTAGAATTTCAAATATTTTGAGTGTGCAATCGATTGCACAAGAGTGTAAATCGATTTCATGTGAAGTCAGTAGCAAAAATTGATTGAGTGCAATCGGTTGCACAAACATGTAAATCGATTGCACTGAGAAACAATAGCAAAAATTGATTGAGTGCAACAGATTGCACAAACATGCAAATCGATTACACTGAGAAACAGTAGCAAAAGTTTTGAAAAATTGAAGCATGCAATTGATTGCACTAATATGCAAATCGATTGCACTCAAGTAAAAACTGATTTTTAGCTTAGAAAAACTTGAGTAAAGATTTGGACAATATAAAATATTTCTTTTGACCATTGAGCATCTATGTCTTAAGTTCAAAGTAAGTGTTATCATTGTACCTTGAAATTTGCTAAGTGCTTGAACTGAAAACTTTATCCATAGATGCTTTTAGATTGATCAATAATCTTTGCCTTCTTTGTCACTCATGGTTTGTCTTCATTAAAACAAAAGTGTATTTGAGAAGCTTAATTTTACATTCTCCCCCTTTTTGATGATGACAAACGATCTTGCTTGATACGATGTAATTTCCGGAAAGAGCTTCTCCCCCTAAGATGCATAACTCCCCCTTTGTATGAGAAGGTTGGAATCCTTTGAATTTGTTCATCTTGGTTGAAAAGTACCTTAAAAAAATTAGGACAAGGAAATATACAAGCATAAAGTACCACATCCTTCTCCCCCTTTGACATTATCAAAAAGAAGGGAAAGATGCATAAAAATAGACAAAATACATATAATATAATATTGAAAGCTTAACCATAGCCATATTGCTTCATGATGCTTTTTCTCATCCTTTGATAAATGCACATAGTAGTTATCTTCATTAAAATATAATGTTGAAGATGCTTGAGTCTTTTAGAAAGAATGAAAAACTCTTATGTGAATGATCCCCATATCTTTGATAACTCCCTCTTGATCAAGATTCTCCCTTGAATCATAGAGAACTTTTATCTTTCTTTGGGCTATGAGTTTTACCTTAAGAGTGACTTCATAAACCATTCATCCTTGATAAATTTGAAGCCTTTTTAACAAAGTTGTCTTTTACT